ATGTCAAAGCTAACCAGAAGTGGAAAGGCAAGATACGCCTTCATCAACCTGAAACCAGTTTGGAAATCTTCTGCTTCACTCAGCCAGCATAAAGAACAAGATTCGGATTTTCAACACAAATGTGAAGTCAGCCAGTCAGTTCTTCTATGTGGTTCAGTAACTTAGCCGACACGTCACGAATAGGATTTCCAACAAGTCACAGCAGACTTTTATCAACGGCTGCTCACTTCACTGGCTCCATACTGAAGATCAAATTTCAGGTGAGAAAGAATTAGCAACAAGAAACGGTGGTTGAGAACAGACCAACCAAGAGCCGATTGCTCAAAAATGTGTAGGAGAAAATGGAGGTGGATGGGGCATACGCTGAAGAGACCATCGAATGAGATCGCACGCAATGCAGGCCATCGCCAGAGTGGAACCCGAATAGGAAGAGAGGAGTGGGTCATTGGTGTGAGGGTAACATGGAAGAGATGATGCGAGGAGGAGATGGGAGATTATGAGCAATCGTGGACGCAGATGAAGAGGGCAGAAGAAAGTAGGACAAGGTGGAGATGTATTGTTGGAGCTGTGTTTTCCACTCGAAACCCAAGGCAATAATAATAATATAAGATATATGCTTTCAATTGAATCCAATTAAGGTAAGTGAAAAAAGCTTTCTGATTCACGAATTGTTTAGAAAATTTATAACATATCTAAAGGTTCAGTGTCATACAGCTCATTAGTTTCAAGTATGTAGATACTGATACAAATGTATTCCGACTGTATTTCTTGAAGTATCATTATGCCGACGCAGTAGTGAACTAAAACAGTACTCATTTTCATCATGCGTTTCATATAATTCCTGTGTACCAAGCTATGAAATTAATACTTGAGACAATCTAAAGTCATTAGATTTTGACTGCGTTTGATACACTTATTTTAACGCCATGCGTTTGTCATAAACTGTCAGATTCTGTTATAATTCAGAGGAACTCAGCATTTTAGAAGGGAGACGAAGTACGCCTTATCAGTACAGAAAAAGTAAGCATACTTTCATATATGTTTTTTCAAAGAAACTCCAAATTGCAGTGTTCTTGATGAAACGCAGTTATCCACATAGATTATATAAGCATATTTTTTATTTTAAGAGTTGGTTTTTAAGGATTAAATTTGTTTTTATGAGTTGATCACGGACTGATATCAGTTAGAGAACCATTGAAAACCAGGGAGTACACACCCACTGGGCCTGGACCTTCTGGTTACAAGGCAAGCTAGTATACCATTCAGCCACTGGGACCCCATTTTAATGGCCATCCCATAAATTCTAACTTCTACGAATTCGTGATTTAGTGAGACCCCAACCATGTCGTTGGTGGGACATCCATCCTCACACTTCACTGGATGGACCTCACTGGTCATGACTTCTCACTAGAACTCCGTCCTCTATCAAGTCACTGGCGTTGAAACATTTTAAGAAATAAACTTATTTTTCGCTTGAATCGAAGAGGCGCATTTACGCAGGTGAACATCAATACTCTGACAAAAGTAGAAGTCTTGAATACGTTAAAGTTAAGGTAGGCCAGAAAATCATCAAGATTAGATGGAATTCTCTCAGAAGCACTGAAAACGGATGTTCTCACGCTACCACCGAAATTTTGAAGGCAGAAGTACCTTAACGGAGACAGGCCTTGGATTATGCCTTCGCCCAGCACAAGCAAAATATAAACCCAAGTCATCCGGAAGAGACCAAAAGTTGCACTGAATTCAAAACTCTACCCAGAACAGGCTACATCCAGGGAAAACAAACCATACGCGGGCCAAATTTTAACGCTACGCGTGATCATACATTAGATTCTAAAATAGTTGTCAACTGTCTCAACTTTAGTGGCTTCAAAAAGTCTTCAATAGCGTCAACCATAAAGTAATTTAGAGACTGCTTCAACACTATGGACTGCAGAACCCTATACCTTTATTAACCTCAATCAACAGCTATATGATGCCATATACTGAGTGATTCACAACGGAAGGCTCAGTGAAGCGTTTGAAGTGAAAACTGTATTGTCTACTACCGCCGATGATATTCTTGTTTGTGGTGGACTGGATCATGAGTCAGACGATGCATGTGATGACAGACACATGTAAAAAAGATGAAAAGACACTGGGAGATCTAGACTTCGCAGGTAATTTACGTCTAATGTAGTACAATCTCGAAGCATGAAAACCAACAAGCTGGTAGAAGAGGCAGAACATCAGGTAAACACAGAAAAGACAGAGGTGATGAAGATGTTCGACCATAAAACTACTTTTCCATTGACTGGTAAATCTGATGTATATCAATGTTTTTGTTGATTGCAGATTCATCTGAGCACCAGGCCTTTAGCAACTTCCTGATTTTTTCTTTGTCTAACACTTACACCTAACTAGAATGTTCTGCAAAGTTCCACAGATAAAACTTACTTCACAAACTCTAGATACGGCCCATCTAAAAAGAAGCCTTTCTCTTAAGAGAACAGAATGCATGACACGGATTTCCAATAAGTCTTACGTTTCGTTAGGAGGATGAGTTTAGACCGAGAACGGAACCCTGCGACTTAATGTTTCTTATTCTCCTTGTTTATTTTAATACCTCTAAATCTCGTTTATTTTCATGTTTTTCTGTTATGGAGAGTAATAACAGGGACTGTTGTATTTCTCTACTAGTATCTACCTGTTCCTCTGGTAGTGATCAATAGTGGTTTTGCAAGTTCATAACACAAACTGTATCGACTGACAGAGAAATTGTATTGTCTATAAGTCTACGATTTTCCAAGGGTATAACCAAATTCGCAAAAATTACTCCACTATATTTTGAACAGTTATGTATACTTGTTAACTCTAACACCATAAATTTGTCACAGCTTCTAAGATAAAGGTGAGATTAGTTCACTGTTGTTGTCACTTTACTGTGAAAATTATTGATATAAGCTACCATTTAACTACTCACACTACACAATCTCTCTAGCAGTATGACTAAGCACTTTCCTACCAAAACAAATATTTACTTAGTTTAAATTCTCAGTAAACTTCAGTGGTGTGCATATACTTTGTTTCAGTAAGTAAATTTACAACTTTTTCTGGATTTGATAATTTTCTATTACTATTATTAAAATACAAATTTGGTATTTATGCGCACCAAGAGACGTGCCGCAAATCTCATAGTTTCCGCGAGGATTAGAATACTGCTCGGACGCCTAAACTGAAACATGTGATTGACTGAAGGGGCCGAACCCCGAGCCTTTGATTTGCCTGATCTATGAAGTAGCGGGGCAGTGCCAAAAGCTACGTTCCCGTGGTTGAAGGTGACCAAACTGGGTTCACACGTCACTCGATCCTTTCCGATTCTGTAATCTGTATCAACTATAGGTTTGGAAACACAGTTTTCCACCTCCTCTTGATAGATCTGCATGTTCACCAGCTCCAGACGTCTGCATCTTCCTATTCATTTTAGTGATTTACCTGATAGAGGCTGTGAACACGTAGCCACGTGGGAGCATTTCGAGAGGATAACTAAAGCCTACTTCCGCTCGAAAAGACCAAATTGTTTTAACATGATTGGGATTTCTAACCTTTACAAACTGTCATGGCTTTGTGACGATAACCCACGGGTAAAAAGCGTCAAATTCAAATAAGTACATTCCATCGAACCAACTCAATATATTTAGAAAAATATTTGACCAAAAACTTGTTTCACGAATATACAACACTCCCAGCTCGGTTCGTAAATTCCTGCTAACTTATTCATTTACTATTTGCTAACTAAAGAGCAGTACGTACTACTGTTACTGTGTGGAAATGTTGTTTAGAGGCTTAAATACTCAGCTTTCAGCCAGTAGGTCACGGGTTCTAGTCCCGCTCCACCTGTTTCAGTCTGACCAACTGGATAGTATCACCAGACCCCACAGGGAAAGTGTGGCCGTTAGCCTCATGCATGGAAAATCTGTTTCGGGTAATTTAGCTAAAACAATATTATAACTATATGACTGTGTGCTAAATTAAGTTAACTAGTATGGAACTAAATTCCATTACAAAGCGCAATTTGTTTTCTTGAGTCAAAACCCCTTATCTCTATGTTGAGGATAATCTACCTTTGAATATAGATGCATAATTTAGCCAAGCAAATATCATTAATCACTTTGTTTGATTAATTAACCTGACTTTATATAATAACTTCACAACAGACCGTTTGTGAGACTTCTACCATAGTAAAATTATACGAAAACAGCGTTGAAGCATAACCAATATTTCGACTACAAAGCTATCCAATTTCCAATGAAGTTTACTTGAAATTATTACCTTGTACCTTCAGGCATTTTCGAAGTCACACAGATTTATGAGTAATTGCTCCAAGAATAAAATTCAAGCAGCTTTTATTTTTCTAACGGTGACTCGGTGGATATGACAGTTTTCACATGATGACGAGTAGAGCTCATCAATTAATACCTTGAGCTGCGCTATTACCGAATCGAGCTCTCATAAAATACACAACGATAGACCTGCAAAACGATTGTAGATTTTTAAAATGCAATAAAAAAACAAGGAATTTATAGCTAGAAAAGTAATCTTTATTCAATTCTCTCTGAAAGTGAAGTATAAAAAACACCTTTACATAAAAACGAAATTATTTACACACTTTCATTATGAAAGTCACTGAAATCACTGTTTTCTAGGTCAGTCATTCGTTTTTGAAAAAAATAAGTATGAAAAATAAGAGGAATAGAATGACACAGGACAGAAGGATTGTGTCCTTTTTTATTTACATAATCATCAATCTGGGGGAAAGTGTGCATTGCAATACTTTGTGTAATGTGAATCACATTGCGTTATGCAAAATGAAGTTGTTTGAAACATTCTTGCCAAAAACTTGTTTCAGGGTACATACATGAATATATATATATATATATATTCCCAATGGATTGCATGAAATGTCAACAGAATTTCATATACAGAACACTATACAGTATATAAAAAGAAAGAATTTTCAGTTATACAAGTGACTGAACACAAAACTGTGAGCAATTCAAACGTTTCCATAGGAAAAATAATGATACAGGATTACTAAAACGATGACTAGAAAGCATCTGGTATATCTGAGATGAATTAACGTTTACAGGGTTGAATGTGTACACCTCTTTTAAATGAATGGGTACATGCAGTAACTTCTTAAGTATAATCCCCAAATAGACATCATCAAATCGAAGATAGCGTGTATAATGTATAGCCACATTAAATTTACGCGCTAAATCCATTGAAAGAAAAAAATTACCTGCTGCTACGTACGGAGGGTAACCAGTATGAGGATATTCATTCCAATCAATAAGCCATTTGCTAGAACCCATCCGATTTTTCTTGCGTACAGGCTCAGCATTATACCACACGTAACCACTGATCAGCACTTGGCGTATATCCTCACTCAAGCCTTCGATATATGCAACCACATTTCGAGGATAAACAAAATAATCATCATCAACAAACATAATGATAGGTACATTGGAACAATACTTCACTGCCCAATCGATACCAAACATGACTTTATATGTGTTATTATAATAATGATCTAGGAAATCTTGTTGAATTACATCACCATGAACATCCGATTCATTTTTCAACATATCTCCCAAGTTTTTATCACTAGGAGGAACAGTGCCGAAAAGAAACAGGTGAATAACACGACGTCCACCCCAGCAAAGATTATTCCCCCAAGTTGAACGTATAGCATCTCTGCGAAGGAAATTAGATGGAGCAGATTTAATGAGTATCAACAGCTCTGGAGGTTTTCCAGTTTTTAATAAAATATCCTCACATTTTTTGCTTTCAGTAATAAGCATTGAGAATTGAGGATCGTTAATTGGTTGATATGGCACAGATAAGTTCGAAAGTACTTGTCTAACTAATTTAGGCATATCTACTTCCAAAGGATATTTAAGGTCATCAGAACCTGTAGAAAAAGAAGAATTGACAGCTATCCGATGTTGATCAGTAGAACTGGACGATATAGGGATTTCCTGAGAAGTATCATCGTTAAAGAACCAGTTATGAGGAAGTGTGATATTTTCAGCCATAATGTTGACATAAGAAAATTTAGAAATTTCATGAGCTATTTGGGGTGCAGATGAATAGTTGGATATAATGATTATCGATTGAAATATGAGCATGAGAATGAAGAGTGTGATAGCAATTGCTGCTTTGTTCACTCCACAAGTGAGAATTCTGATGCGACCCATTATGATCCTCGAAATAAAAAACAAACAGCAAATAATTAGTAAAAAGAGATGATAAAGGTAATGAAGTCGGCAATTTTTAGTAAGAAAGACAAACGGAGACGAGACGTGAAGACCGAATTCAGTCCCCACATACGACCACCCATTGACTCAATTCGCAAAGGCGCATGAAGTAAGGGTCAACAGGCATAGAGAAATAGGATAAAAATCACTAACATGTTACCAATTTTGAAGATCTAGCTTGATTGTGGATTGACATCATTTAGAGAACCGCTGAAAAATAGAGAGTACCGCGCATCTGTTTCGTCCTAGTTTGTGACTTTTCATTAGCACACACTCGTGACCCCACAGGGGTTCGAACATTTGAAAATTGTGAAGATGACGAAGTGTTACGCTTGTGGACCAATATGGCTGTTGCGAAGTCAGGCTATTACACTAAATAAATGGTAAGTTATTACTGAATTTTATTTCAGTTACGTATTTCATATAGCAACAAATAAAACAGTGATTTTATGTCGAATTCTTTACAATGCCTAATTCCATCATTTAGTCATTTTTATGCGTAGAGTTAGTGATTAAAAATCCCTACAAATGTATAAGGTATATCAAAATAAAGCATGCAATATATTTTAAATGAAGTCAAGGTATAAGCATAACCTATTGATAGTTTAGGATGAATTTTGATGATGGTTATGTTAGCATCAACCATATATTTTGCACAAGCACCACAGTCATACCAGAAATGAAATTACGTAGTAGTGAGATACACTACATATCCTGACAAACGATTCTGTTGCCACTCCTCATAACAGGACAAAAGATAGTCATCTTTATGAATAAAGCTACATCAAAAATGACAGACTGTCATTATGGCAAATGGCGAATATAAATACATATTTTGGCAGAATTTTAAATACAAATGACTGAAACTCAAAAGTCATGTGCAGGTTGTATGCTACCAAGTGACCTAAACCTTTTGTAAGAGGTAGCCATACAGATCACAGTAAATAATGAGAAGTTTAAACCTATGAACGGTTGGTTAGAAACTAGGCACTTTGACTAATTAACCAAAGATCCATGAAATTGCAGTAATTTATGTGAAATCGATTTTCATCGTTTCACTGAAAACTGTTTACCGAAATAATCACAGTGCTTCTAATTTCCTATATCTACTTTCTTTGGTATTTTTGGACATTATGCAACAACAAACTAATCAACATTACATTAAAATCAGTAAACCCCGACTCTGCAAGAAAGTAACTGAAGTTTTTTTTAGTATGCATGTATCTGTAAATAGGAAATGAACTGTTGAGCAGTATCGCTAGCCTCTAGTAGATAGGCTGATATCTCACTAGTGTTGAAGTAATGCAAGATGGTGAATACTAAATAAGAGGCAGTTTCCTGCGAAAAATTTATACAACAAAACTCCGGAATGTCACGTAACTTTAGCTAGTGCTTACCCTTATTTCCCATGGTGGCTGGAAGAAACATCAAAAACGAAATTTATCATGTATTTCCTGATTATTAACAAGTTATTTAAAACTAAGTCACTCGAATGTTATCAGGTCATTGGAAGACAGGAATGTTGACAACAATACATTAGACTTCCGATTTCATACAAATCCCACACATGACAATCCGTTTGTCATATCCCATAATTACCTGAGTCTTTCAATATTATTCAATTTCCGACATTTACCTCTAGATTGTTCCAATTCTTTGTGCTACGTCAAGATGTTTTGGTATTTGAGTAAGGGCGTGAATACTGCACACTGAACAGCAAAAACTCGATTCATTAATATGATATCTATTAAACTCTAAAATGTCAATCTGTACCCCTAAATGCACAAGAAATCATGTTTGTTAGACGAAACCTTCCCAAGTAGCGCTGAGCAGTTTTCATTCACTATTGAGTGTTACACTGTTCACACGAAGCACGCTATTTTTAGGACAACTGTCATTATCACAAAGGCGGATTAAGATGTGGTTCTTGTGATTTATTTATTTAAACTTATTTTACGTCTCATTATATTGCATGACTTGGTGTTAAGAACATTACTAAGAGTACTGGCTAGAAGCTTAAAAGCGATTTACGGTAAAATATCAAAAACACTTACTTACCCTTGTCAAAGACAGAAACAAACAAATGTAAAAACTGAAAAAATTTGGCTAAATGACTCAAGGGGTAAAAGAGCTTGTGGACAGAGTTGGTATAACTCAACCTAGGGACACATAACTGTGTAAAATTCTTGCATTGCGATTGTCCACACAGTTTGAATAAGTTCTCTAACTATTGTTTTTATTGACTCGTCATTGAGGTTGAATGTATCAAAAAAATATACCGACGAAATAATATTAGCCTGTTTTATCTGTTCTTTCTCTTGTTAGTGCCTTGTCCAAATTCACTGAGACGAATTTCGTATGAGGTTTATTGAGAAAAGTAAAGAATACCAGAATTCGTAAAAGAGGAAAATTTATCTTCCATGTTTCAGACTCGTACTTGTGATGATATTTTAACTCAAGGTTCTCCACAAGTCTCTGCTAAGGGAATAATGGCGGACGTGTCACCAAGATGATTAATATATCCACTAAAATACCCCCCAGCTAGCAAAGCCATTGAGTGCAGTGCAGAAAGTGAGACATTGTGAGCCGTTCCCTGAAATGAACGTACCCGACAGTTCCTGCAGTGTGGCCGAAGTCATAGCAACGTGTGAATTATAGTAGCATATTAAACACAATCATGAAGTATATCTAGGTAGTTTTGTTAACGTCGAAGGCTCAGCACATTTCTAGACTTCCACACGACGTCAGTTATCCTCATAAACACGCTATCACAGGACCTCTAGTTCAATTAATTTGATCGATGTGACTAGTGAAGTCTAAATAATTAGATAATCTATGAAGCTGTATTAATTGATGTGACAACTGATTTCGTGAATACGCAGTAATTTGTGCATCCAAGATAATCATGAGGTGACTGTGAGTGGAATTTTATTGGAGCAAACAATCTCCACAAGAATAACGTTAATATTAAATCAAAGATATCATTGACTGAATACTGCACTTGATTACGCTCACCTCTGTAGTGACTTCTGAGATTATATGGACACCTCAAAATCTATCCATAGTCACCTTGAGTTGCCATTGGTGACCTAAGATACCGCGTCTTGTTGAGGTCATTCAATGATGTTCAATAGACCCAAGTTCGTTTCAAATGCCAAATATTCTTTTCGAAAGTTAGTAGTTAGCAAGCTAAGTCATTGTTACTTGATATTTGATTATGAATAAGAAGTTTCCTATTCTTTCAAGTTTCACTGACTTGTCGTTCGAATCAAGCTTATATGCACCAGTAGAAATATGTCATTATTCTTCATCTGGCGTGCAAGGTTAACTTTCCACTAGTGCTTCTGCCGAGTTTTTCCGTCGCCGTTTCGCCAAATTATCCTTCAGATTTTGAGAGGAGAAAATATTTAAAAAAACAGGCTAAACAGATGAATGGATTAGATAGAGAATAAGGTGTCATAAAAGAATACAGGCACATTAGATAAGAGAGGAATCAAAATGAAACTAAGAGAAAAGAATTTCCGAATAACTTCGTCTTCTACAAAGTCCTCTTCAGTCACAACCCTCTATTAAATATGTGTTGTCTATCTGACTTTGTACAGTGTACCTTCACAAGAAATCATCAAATATGAGAGTAGCAGTTAACCAAAAAACATCCAACTAAGCGAACCAGGAACTCTCACAAAAGGTATTTTCTACGATAAAAAATGTTAGTTTTCTTATTATCAACTTTTCACATACAGGCTTGCGTAGTTAGTTTTGTAGTAACAAATACAAGCATTAATCCCCATCGTTTTATCGAATGTAGGTTCTTCTGTTCGGATTATCTATTGTATACGTTGACAACATTTTTAAGGATTTTTGTTATTGAGACTTGTTGATTGTGTCGTTTCAACAGAGTTTCTTATTCCACATTTTCACATCATAACTGCATGTTTGATGTAGCATAAAATGGCCTATGGCTAACATACTTTAGAACTGACCTAATAGATATCCTTCACATCCTTTGAAGCACTGTTCGGAGTGCTCTCAGACTAATGTAAACTCAGGCCCCTATTGCCGTCCGTTATTATTGCCAAAAGACATGAGTCTAAAGTACTTACTAAAGCTTTAGGTGTGGCTCACCTTCTCGTGATATTACACATAATCCAACCGAAACTGAAATGGGATATTTCTCCCACTTCGACATTCTATGTAGCAAGTGGTTTGTTATTGATATATTGAACAATAAAGCTTTAAGAGCAGGCTCCGTAAGAGAACATGGTGTATGAAACATAACTGCATCTCGACCTCCGGATATTCCCATACATTATGCACAGTCAGTTGCTGTCATCCAGAAGGCACTCGAGGAAAGCATTTACTTAGGCTGCCTGCACAGATTCGAGCTTGCTTCCAGTTGGCTTTGGCTAGATATAACCCTCACGATCGTTGTGTGGCTATCAACCCTGCTGGACTTGAGCAGTAGACACACTAGTGACTGTTTAGCCTGACTTAACTAAGTTGGTGGCCAGGCTACCCTAAACCCCCCCCCCAAATAGAGAAAGAATACTATAATAGTTACGACCGCTGAAAGATGTCTTCATTGACGACGATTTGAAGAGTGTGCAAGCAGATAATCACATCACGATGAAGCTATCGAGCTGTTGTCCCATGTAAATTATATTTATCACCATGTATTTCTATCCGCATAGATAAACATATTGATCGTTGACGGCGAAATGGCTGAGGTTTAATTGAATTGGCGAGCTTCTTTGATCCCCAATAGTTCCACACGGCGG